GCAGTTTTCAGTTTGCTTAGGGCGTACTAAAGCACCGTTATTTTAATAAACGTCGTTTGGGCATGCACAGGAACAACATTGGCCTGAACTTTGGTAAAAGTTGTGCCGTTGCTTCTTTTCTGTGACTTTCTTCCAATGGCTCGAGCAATCAAATTTAGCAAACGCTGCTTGAAGCCAAACGTGTTCGGAGCATTTACGTTTTTTGTTTAATTTTTACGTTGATGCTGTGAACTATGAATGATTTTATAGCTGGCAACAATTTGCACAAATTAACGTTGGCAACGCCCACATTGATAGCTTAAGCAGATGTATTTGAGTGTGGTGTGTTGATTTGTAATTTGTGATTTGTTGATGCCTGCTGCCTTCTCTTTGCTTGTAAGTAAGGTTTTCCCCCACAACGCCATAGAAGCTCTTGGCTTTTGTAGCTTTGCATGTGCTCTTCGTTGAATATTTATACGAGTCTACTACGTACATACATATGTATGTACATTTATGCAAATGTAAACGCCTAATTGACAAACAAGCTTCGCGTCGGGCTTGGGGCGTACCCGGCGCCCCTCCATCACCTCAGTCTGACTTCGGAGACAGTGGCGGCTATTGTGTAGACAATAGAGTATAGAGGTAGCGCCACTGGTTTCATTACATTCGATGCTGATGCTGATGTTGTTGCTATTACATATTGTTATTGTTGTTTTTGTGCAGTTGTCGTTGCTGCCGCCGCCGTTGATTTTCAATATCCAATTTTCAATTTCATGTGCGGCGGCGGCTCTTTGGCATGGAACGACCTTGAGGCTTGATTCTCTAACCCCTGCTCAGGCACTCAATTATTTGTGTCTATGCTTCAGGTAGTTGTTTTCGTTGTTGTATTGAAAATCACATAAAATCCACACGCGGTTTTCAGTCGGCATTGTTGTTGCTGGTGTTGTTAAACGTTTTAATGAATGAGTTTTATGCGTGCTTCATTTCCAGCGCCATAAAACAAACACGGACAGCAACAATTCAGATTCAGATTTGCGATTCACGATTACGATTGCTTTTGATAAACTATACTCCGGTATTTTTCCTTAAATTTTATTATAATTGTAAAAATTTGTTGTTATTATTGCCAGCTGCCGTTTGGAGTGAAAGTAATTTGTCTGACACTTTGGACACGCCTAGATAATACGAAATGCGAATTTCAGACAAGTATTTGCACATTTTTCGAGAGCCTCTTACGATTCTGTGACTCACGGCTCTTTTGAATAACGGCCGGTTCGAGTAGAAAGTTTCAACATTTTTATTCCAACCTGACTCCCAAATGTAGTCATTATAGGTTTTAACAGTCATCAGAGTTGGTAATAATGTTTATGCTCATGACTGCTTATTTAGTCAATCATTTAGCTGGCGAAAAGGGTGATGTGAAACCAACAGGAAGTGCATTCGGAGTAAGGCATGAAGGCGTTCTGCTTATGATAATGATGATGGGGATCGCTGAAAATTTGTTGCTCGTAATGATTGTGAATCCGCGCTCTATGGCTTTCAGTTTTTAAATCTCTTTTTAATTATATTTCATCTTGTTCTACTCTCTCCAAAGCACCTGCGACGTTAATTAAATAAATGTTTTGTGATCAATAAGAAGTGTCTGTTCCAGACGAAATCTAAGCATATTTTTGTTTACTAAATATATGCCAACTAGTTGTCATGTTTTACCGAACAATTCATTTCTATATCTGCTTAATGCACATGTTTGCTATTAGGCTAAGTTATTCTTGTTAAGGAATTCGGGGATTGTTTTTATCAAATATTAAGTCATAGCCAGTACCACCATTTCATATTTTCAATTATTATAGAACTACATATATGTTCAAGCATGTTGAAAAAGTAATCATTCTATCAGATGAATTCAAACCAAATTCCAACGCACACCATTTGTTCGATAAATTGATCAAATGAGGCCTCATAATTTAATTAAAATGTTTGTGCTAATTGGAACTTTGTAGTTATTCGTATCAGGCTGCATTTACGAAACCAAATATTCGACTCGCTTTAAGTCGTATATATTTGTATTTAAAGCGCTTTTTAAATCAATAATGATTATGCAACCCAAACGAGAAAAACAATAGATTTCGCTTCTTATTATACCCTGTACCCGTAGGGGTAATTAAATTAAATTAATTAACTAAATTAATTTAATTAATGAACTAAATTAAATATTCCATGCATGCATACATACATTTACATTTCCATCAGAATCGTGCCTTATGCGTGTTTGTGTACTTGTACATATGTATGTATGTATGTGTGCATTGGGCCTGGTTATATGGCTATAACTTTCTTTCTGATCAACATATCATAATGAAACTTGGTATACGGATATATAATTACTAACTAGATGTGTCTACTAAATTTAGTTTATATAGTTTAAAATTCCAAGAATTACGGGAGTTATAGAAAATCGGTAATAGGGGGGGGGGGGGGGGGGGAGTGGGTGGGTTGGATCAGAAAAACTGAACAAACTCGTTCTTTCTCGTGCTCAAGAGTATACCAAGTTTGGTTATTCTAGCTCTTATACTTTCGGAGATCCTTGCGTTCATACAGACAGACGGACATGGCTATATCGATTCGGCTTGTCATGCTGATCAAGAATATATATACTTTGTGGGGTCTACCAAGCCTCCTTCTGTGTGTTCCACGTGCACTCGCACAAAACTAATATACCCTTGTACCCTTTGGGTTCAGGGTATAAAAATGTATTGTTAAGGTGCTAATCTGAATGCACGGCTTCAATGCTTTGATTAAAGAGAAAAGAGAAAAAATGCAAATCATACACAATCACAAATATAAGTTCATTGCCTATGCGATAGGAACTACTACTATGGCCTTATAAACAGTATAAGTTTAGATCTGAGGTACTTTGGCTTATTCGGATCATATCATAGCAAAAGGGATTCCTCCGGAAATTAATATACGCTGGAGTTAGAAACAAGTGATACTCCAAATAGTCAAATCCGTGTAATGCATCTAAGTTATGCGAAATTGAAATCCGAAACCACTCGTTGCTAGCAATGCGCAAGAGGCGGCCACAAACGACTGAGCATTATTGACAAGCAAATAAAGCCAATCTTCCATTTAATAACCAATTATCGTTGATCAACTGCACGCCCTTGCGAGCAAGCCCGACAGACGTACACATACCAGCATACGGGCATACATACTTGTATATATTCGTACTCGTACGTACAATCTGAGGCAGACAGACGGACGGTCGGACGAACGGGTGGACGGGCAGACAGACAAACGACGTGCACAATATCAATTACGAATTACGACTGATTATCCACGAGTTCTTCTTGCCTGAGAATTGGCAACAGTTCCAGCCACAACAATGGCAATGGCCATGGCAATGATAAAGCCCAGACATCCAGCACAGTGGAGTGGACTGTGTAAGCCGAGGGCGGTGTCGGCGACGGCGACAGCGCCTTCGTCTGAAACTGCAACTGCAACTGCGGCTTATTAGCACATAAACAAGTTAATGCCATTGATGACGACGCTGATGCTGGCAAGGCGGCGCACGAATTCGTTCAATTGCAGGCGGCGGCGGCTCTTGAGGCTCTTCAGGCACCTGAAACGCCAAGTGCATGGCAAATGGGAAGCACACGTACGTGGGGGAATGCGCCTGCAAAAGCTGAAATCAAAAACTTTTGTCGAAGATAAATGGGCCAGCTGCTGGAGCAGTTGCGAGTCCCGAGTGCTCGAAGTTGTCAACGGCGGCGCAAAAGCTTTTGATGTTGGGGCCGTGTGTAATGCGTTGCTCGTTGTCTTTTAGACCATGTTAAACTTTCCCAGTTGGCGACGCCGCCGCCTTCTCGTTCCTAGAATATGTAGTTCAGCGAGCCGGCTGTCTGTCAGTGCTTTGTTTGTCCAACACTTTGGGCTCGAAGCCAGATATGTTAATGTCGTTTGGGTCTGCGTGTAACTAAAACCAAAAGTCAAACATTTCTTGTTGGCTTTACCTTGAATTTGAACGACAAAGCAAGCAAGCAACGAACGAAGCCTCTGCCTTCGTCTTTCCGAAGGCCACAACACCCTATATTTGTTTATATCTATTCGAGATATTGGAAAAGACTGACACCAATCTATGGAATTATATACACCTAGACCTCGCTTAACATGTGGGTTGCGTTTCTAAAAACCTCTTTTTTTTAAAATATTTTTCAACTTTAAAGAGAGAAAAGGTGCCAAATTTTTAATCGTGTTAGACCGAGTTCGTATTAAAAGAGGTTGTGTGAAACGAGGGCTAGGCTAACTATTAAAAGTTTTACTTTGTTATGATATCTAAAATCTCATATATCTCTCCCTATAGCTCGATTTGATCAAATTCGGAAACATCATCAGGCTTTAACAATTTGTTTGAAGTAGTTCATGATTAAAGCTTCTAGAAGATATACGTACATAAATCTAGTTCTTATTAACATTTTAAACGCTGATATATAAATTTTTTTCTCTATGGACTTCGTAGATTTAACTACTATTATGCAACCGTACTGGACTTAAAACTGAAAGAACATTCAAAATTTGTACCACGTGGAATAGAGAGCATTAGATCCCAAAATAAATATCATCATCTCTTATTTAATAGAGTAGTATAACAAAAAAGATGACTAGTTGGCATGTGGGTTCCATTGAAAAATCAAGAGACGCATAGATTTGAATGAGCTTAGAAATGAATATATAAATACATACATAGACCGTTGAGATGAGCCATAATGACTTAATTTGTTGCCATTAACGATGACAATTGGGTATGGCTCCGACGATGGAGACTGTCACTGGAAGCACTTGGTTGCTCGTATACACATACATATACATACTTATACATATAGTATGTATGTGAATATATGCAAATAAGCAGCAATTATGTTGATTTAAGCACTAATTGGCACTAGACCCCACTACCCCCACCTCTCCACCTGCATAGAGCACAGACTGACCCCTTCTCTCTGTTCTTTTCCCATTCACAGGCTGCCCAGCGACGACGAGTTCCCACTGCCTGCGCTGCAACAAGTCCGGCTGTATCAAGTGCCCTCTGTACCTGGTCACAGATACGCGCCAGTGCGTAGAGCAATGTCCGACGGGGTACATCGACCAATGGTCCGCGCACACGGAGTTCATGGGTCGTGTCTGTGTACCCACTGGCTACTCTGGACCGCTGATGGCCGCATTGGCCGGCCTGCTGGGCGGTTTTCTGGTCTGTCTCTCATTACTGGCCGTCGCCGTGATGCTTGTGAGGCGCAAGCGAAGACGCAAGTCTGTCAAACAGAAGCTCATCAATGAGAATACGATGGATCGAGCCGATTTCATGCGTCAACTGAACGAGATGCGACCCAACGCCGAGTACTTTCTGGCCATGCTGAATGACACACGACGACAAATTCGCAAGCTGTATTTGTCTGGCGAAGTGGCGGCGGCAAACTCGTATCGTCCGATCGTGAGGGATCTGGCCAAGCTGCTCATATTGCTGAATAGACCGATAGAGTTGATTCCGGCACCGCCGCAGGATTGGTCGCGTCTGTATGCTTGGTCGGAGCAGGCGTTGGAGCGTTACAAGCCGCAGGTGGGGCAGCTCATCGACTTCTTCCAGGCCTCCAACGGTGGCCACGGAGCGCAGGATGCGCTCTATGCGGCGCCTGCTAAGAAGCACCACAGTATTTTCCGGCAGCACGGGTCGCCAGTAGCCAGCACGACGACACAACTGAGTGCTGGCGGCGGAGGAGGCGGTGCTGGTGATCTGGTGGCGGGCGATAGAAACAGCACCGCCTCGGCCCATCAGAAGCTGCACCTCTTCGGCTCGCTGATCAGTTTGCATGAGTTCGAGGAGCCACGGGCCTCGGATCCCTTCGGAAGCAGCTTCAACACGCTCAAGAGCGGCAATCTGATATCCGATCTCAATGCGAGTTCTCTGTGGCTGGAGGATGAGTTCTACAAGCTGGGCTTTCGACCGCAGGACGAGATCACGACTGAGTTGTAGTGACTGTTAGTGCCTTTTTTATTTGTAGAATCCAAAGTATTATCTCCATGCCCATGCGCCGCCCGCGATGTGTCTCCGCTCCATGCTGCAGTGGAGCGGGTGCTTCACATTGGGTACCAGAGCAGTCCAGGACATTCCCACACTCCTTTGAGAAATGAGACGCGCGTTTAGTCTAGCCTCTAAATGTTTACGTTTAGTTTAGGTGTAGTCGCAAAGTGCCTAAGTTACGAGTATTAATCTGATAACTTGGCTATATAGCCACCACTTACAGAACAAGCCTAGGCAGTAGCAAAAACATACAGCATGCAACAAGCAACTAGTCATGTAAAATCACAAAATGCAAATGGAAATCATGTCGATGTCGAAATTAATTTAATTTTATAGATTTTACAAAAATCGCAACACTTACGAATAGACAAATATTGATTGTGTAAACCGTAACATTACTTATAGCTATAACTGATATTAATGTACAGAGATAATGATAATCTTAGTAATGCTTAGTACCTAAATATATCTGTATGTTTAAAAGATGATCAACAATAAACAGATGTGCTTTGATAAAATATTTACTTTGTACCCAATAGCAGATTTTAAAGATCGATAGTTTTGAATGGTTTTCTTTTTAAAGGAAACGAAATTGGTCTTCGTTTTGTGAATATTTAATTCTCTGTTCCAGCGCAGGAATTCAATATGATTTAATTTACATACAACCGACTTTCGGTTTATAGTCAAAATTTCCATCAGCACCTACGATGTACTTGGGACCGGGGCCATAAATTAAAATTAAATATATTTTCTCTTAAATCAAAGAACTTCGACCGGATTTTAAATGTCTAATGCAAATTGGTTTCTAGAGATGACATTTCAAACGATCAAATGTATAACTTGAATAATTAATTAGGCAAACTAATTAGATGTCCCACTGTATATGTTCTTGGTTAAGTGTATACTGTAGGGTTAAAAACTTAAGAATGTATAAATCGCTTTTGTTATGGCGCTTCGTACTTCCACAGTATGTTGTCTTCCTCTTTTATGACAATTTCTGCATGTCATGTCGCATCCTCGCAAGCTTCCAATTGCTCGAGATGCTGTCGCTCTGTCAGCTTTCGTTCGTTGACTAGGCCAGCCAATTCGCTCGCATCATAGCCAATCAACAGCTTCAGATCACAATCGAATTTATAAGCAAATCGCTTGCCAGACACCTTGGAGATCATGTCCCCATCATAGTAATAACGAAGCGCGCGCGACAGTTTCTCATAGTTCATGGCCGGTTTGTTCTTCTTTTCGCCCCAGAGACGAGCGACGCGATCCGGATCACTTAGTTTGAACTCGCCTTCGTTTCCCACCCATTCGATGATGTCCGTGTGTTCGCTGTCGGTGAGTATCTCCAGCAGAAATTGCCAGAGCTGTACCTGACCATTGTTGCCCGAACCGGTAGCACTCATATTGTTAGGACTCTGTGAGGCGGGCGAGCTATCGGCAGCTGTACATTAAAGCGATAGTTTGAGGAATAATAATAATAAATTCATGTATTGGCTCATGTTACTTACATTCAGCTCGTGCTGGTGGAAGGACATAGAAGGACTTGCGCATGATCCGCTGCTCTTTGCCGGCAATGGGTGTACCGTTTCCTGCTTCTCCGCCAGCGGTAGTAGCAGATCCCCGATTTTGCTTCGGCTTGCGCATTTCTTCGGCCTGCTTGTGCACCACAGACACAAAGTTGCACTCTTTGAGCAGCTGCAGATGCGTCCAAAAAACATTTCCCGGATCCCGTGGCAGCTTTCTGCGGAAATCCTCGTGACTCATTGCGCACAGCTCTTGGCCCGTTATTTGCCAGTCTGCCATGTTCAGATCGCGCAACTCAAACTGCTTGACCGCCCATTCCAGCCAATGCGAGACATGAGCCCTGTTCCATTCGCTCGCATTTTCAGGTATTCTCAGCCGCGCTTGTTCCCGCTTGAACTTGCTGTCGAGCACCCAGTTGAGCACTGGCTTGACCTCTTCCTTGATGTTCGGCTCCGAATCATCGCTCTCCGGCTTAAGCTTGCGTTTCTTGTTAGCTTGTTTGCTGGGACTGGTGCTGGGTGATGCTTTCGTTGTCGTCGTTATCGTGGTTTTTGTCTTTGCTGTTTCACTTGTTGTTGTTGACGTGCTGCTCTCTGCGCTCACCTCCACTTCCTGCATGTCATTGGACAAGGCAGCAAGCGCCGCCTCCGTTGGTTTCAGCACATCGACTATGTTGATCTTTTTTGCAATCGTTTGAATTTGAACGTTGATCTGCACCAATCCTTCACCCTTTACGCACTGATCCACTAAGTTTTTGTGTGGCTCCAGCTGTAAGTGTAACCTTGTAGTTATTGGTTTCTAACTCCACCGGTTTTTTATTTTACTCACCTCTGTGGCATCTTGCAGGCAGAAGGTGTAAAAATTCAGTGGCACACCTATTTTTTGTTCCACAATTCTCCTGCCAATGCAAATCATTTTATTAGAAATATGTAGAGCGAATCAACAGTAGTCCAAAATCGAATGATTTTGTTGGCTGTCAGAAGCAATTCAGAGAGTGGCGTCATACAGAATTGTTAACATCCAAAACTTACTTTAAGGCACTCAGCGGCTCCCGTATGTCCATGTGCACAATAATTATGTCGTCTGGCTCGTTGTCCACATCGTTGCTGTCGTCGTATATATTATTATCCTCAAACATGTCGTTGGTCATCGCCTCTGGGATTGTTTACAAACATTTGTGGTTACAACAGGTGACAAAAAATTGGAAATGTCCCTGCACTTACCCAGGCCGCCGCCAGAGCTCAGGCGTCGCATTAGCTCCTCGGACAAGTCGTTGTTGTTGTCCATGCCTGATGAAATATTAAAGTAATGTTTGTAAATTTTTTTTTGAGAATATTGCTTATTTTAATAGAAACACACAAAATGTGCGCATACGATAATATATTTGATACTGGCATCGATACCGATAACAGGAAACGTTGTATAGCACAGACCTTTGTGCACGGAATATTTAGTATTTTAATACTAAATAGAGTGGCCGTTGTAATATGCTGCAAAGCCGTTATCGCTATAAATACATTTTTAGGCAGTATTTTTTTTTAATTATTAATTTTTTTGCGGGTTTTGTGTTTGCTATTTGGTAAACCAATTTACTTCCATTAATAACGGACTGAAAGTTAAGGATACATGGGAGATGTAAGAGAATAACAGAAATATTTGTAAAGCAATTTCAATATCTTATTATGTCGCCTTTTATTAATTTGCAATAAGAATTACTTCATAGGTTCAAAAAGAAAGAAATGCTATAGTCGAGTGGGCTCAACTCTTTAAATTCTTGTAATTGTTGTAAATCCTTTGTTTAATATAAAAAAGTTAATTGAATAAAAAATAGGCAACACGTACATAGAGTCGTAATGTTCGTGCCCATTCGAGATTCTGTGTTCGTGCAAGTGTGCAATACAGAGTTGAGCCAAAGCAGCAACAACAACAGCAGCTGCGGGCAGAACATGGGGAGGAGATTGTGTCGAGCAATAAAAAAAAAAATATATATAAAAAAATTAAATTATTTTTTAAAATATTTAATTATTTAATTAAATTAATAAAGAAAATTTATTTAATACATACATAGAAGACATGTTTATGTACAGTTTTAACAGCATACATTTAAATCATCGTGTCTATGCGTGTTTATATGCGTGTATGTATGCAGCACAAAGTTCAACCAAAGTAGTAACAACAACAACAGCTGCGGGCAGCGCTGCGGAATTGGCCTATCATGATGAAACTAGTATAGCCTTTTACCCTTGGGTACAGGCTATAAAAAGTAGAAATACATATGTATGTATGAGGAGTGGGCTTAGATTTTGTGGTGTTTGTGGCTTTTAAATATTTTAATAGTGAAAAGTTTAGAGTTGTGTATTGATGGGTTTGTAATTCGGTGATGGGGTTAATGTTTGGGACAACAGATAATCTATGTGGCGTTGTTGCAGAACGGGCAGTGTTTAGATAGAGTTCAGTCCACGTAATGTGTGTGTGTTAGTGCGGTATGTCCACGGCGAATTCTATTAAGTTTTATTTGTTCTGTGCTTGATAGGACGTTTTGTGGATTGTTATTGTATAGGTCCAGGACAGATAAATTATCGGCGTTGCTTTGCTGGTACCAGTGGGATGTTTGTTTGAATCGAGACGATTGTTTTAATGCGGATATATTTAATTACGTGTATGTATTGTGCTATTCACATGTTTTTACATATATGAACAAGTTAAAGGGTATATGTTTGTCTATTTGCTGTCTTTTGTTGGACCAAACGGTAAAGCATTTTTACAGTACACTGATAAAAAAGTTGCATAGTACAAATTAATATTTTCATATTCAATCTGATGTTATACTATTTCATATTCAAATCAAATAAAAACATCGTAAATTTTACTAAAAACATATTCAATTAGTGATTTTAATATGAATAATATTCAAAACAAAGTGTAAAACTTTGTTTCAATTTAATGTTAAACCATATTAAATATTAATAAGCACACACTTCAAATAACAAATTGTTAAACTATATTCCATACTATGTATATTTTAATATACTTTTATAATAACATTAATTTCACATTTTTTTGTAGTCGATTTAATTATACTAGACATTTATTCAACTTTAATTGACTAGAATTTCCAAGTCTTTTTTCAGCTGTTGTGTAGTATAAATACAAAGTGAAACCCCTTGAAATACAGATATGGTCGTTAGGTATGTGTATGGATGTGTATTGAATCACGTTTTTCTTCTTCACTTGTAATATTAATATTGATCTAAACTATATATAAAAGGCATAAAAAACGTCAAGATAATAGTTAAATCTACGTGTAAATTTTGAAATTTCCGAGCTTTTTTTTCAGTGTGGTGTATCGAGGCAAGATAATTAGAAAATATTTCGTTTCTAATCTACAAGGAATAACTTATAACTTTTCCTTTAGGATATTTTTTTTAAACTGTTGCTTCTACATTTAATATGGTTTTGACCTCGCTTGACTAATATAATTATACTTTTTTTTACCGTAATTTTTATACCCTGTACCCGTAGGGTAAAAAGGGTATATTAGGTTTGTGCAAAGTATGTAACATGCAGAAGGAAGCATCTCCGACCCCATAAGGTATATATATTCTGAATCAGCACGACGAGAGAAATCGATCTAGACATGTCCGTCCGTCTGTCCGTCCGTCTGTCCGTCTGTCCGTCCGTCTGGATGAACGCAAGGATCTCAGAAACTATAAAAGCTAGAATAACCAAAGTTGGCATCCAGATTCTCCTAGGTCCGAGAAAGGACGAGTTTATTTATTTTTTTTTAATTTTATACATATTACACTGTCGGGCTTGCTCGACTGTAGCGTTCTCTCTTGTTTTATTTATCGTATCTTGTCTCTTAGAAACTAACATGTAGGCAAATCTTAGCCTAATAATCTTATTTAATTAATTAAAATTAATTATTTATAGTACAGTATTATTTATTGGCTAGTGCGCCAAATTAAATACAGCGCAAGTGTATTAGGTTGGGCCTGAAGCTTGATCTGAACCTTTGCTTTCATTTGCTACATTTCTGTTCTTATGAATATTTTCATTCCGTATGCCCATGGTGCCCTAGTTTTAGTTCTCGGTATCTTCGATTGAGCTCACTGGATTATTTCTAAATGACTAACGCAAGCGAGCTATGGGCAAAGGCTCGCAGCCATTTGTCGAAATTGGTTTGAGAACTGCATTGTACAAGAGTACTTTGTACTCCAGTTTTAATGGTGGATGGATGTTTGAAACACCAATGTAGATTACTAGCTTTAAATGTCAGTGGATTTCTCTTCGCTTCGATGTGTTTACGCCAAGTACGCCGTCTTTCCAAATGGATACCAAGGTATATTACTTGGGTTTTTTGTGGAATGTTGGTGTTGTTCGGTCAATGGAAGACAAGTTTATCTGTTTAGGGTAAAGGTGGCATAATTGCACTTTTGCTCGTTTACATCTTTGTGCTAGCCTGCAAGCCATTTTTCCACGAGATGAGATTATAAATGTTCCGCTAATTTAATTATAATTTTCATACTTAGGCATTTTAGCTCAGAAGGCATTTGATTGTTTCCCCTATGCCCTCATTCCCCAATATCATAGCAATTCGACAAAAATTTAAATTATAATTATGCAGTTTTTGGACAAATGCTAGTATCTATATTAATCGCAGCAAAGACTCCTTAATGAAAAGCTGGAAATTTAATATGATATTACCATTAAAACTGGAACTTTATTGTAATTGCTCCTATCTCCTATCCTCTCTGGCCAGAGATGCCTTACATCAATATAAAAGACCTCTTGATGATGTAAAAAGTAGAACGGAAAGCAAGTCTGAAACCGACGGAATTTAAGATATCTATAGCGCCATAAATATTAAACATTAAAGTAATACTTGGAATAAAATAGACATCTGAAATCCTGTACGGCAGTCTTGTTTTTCCTTCGACTTAGAATTAATATCAGCAATTTTTAGGTACTTCGCTGAGGGCTTCTTTTTATTAATAATGGGATCAAATTATACGTTAATATATTTTAAGGGCAATGAGGGGCATACTCGGTTTTGTATGTTCTCATTTCTGTGTATGGAAAAGCAAAAAGCTAGAAATGACTCAACTCGAAAAAGCCATAGAAATTAATTGTTATTTCAATATGCAAATTTTATTTGAACAGGCATTCCTTAATTGATCATGAACGCATCGAAATATAAATTTTACTGCTTTTGACAAGCAATGGTCGGCATAAATTTGAGAGTTGCGGAAAAGACAAATGACTCATTTAGTAATAATAATAATCGTATTAAAAGTACTAAAAATAATTAAAAATTCTCGGCCTATGTGAATTGATTAGCCGAGAGATATGATACTGAAACGCCCACTTTAGGCAAGTGGCACCAATAGCTCCTCATTGGCACTCGACAGTGGAATACCAGACACCAATACATTGTGATAAAACGCCACGAATGAAATAGTGGGTCAGTCAGTCAGACAGTTAGACAGTCTGTCTCCCAGCAGAGACAAAGACTGGCAATTGTCTTATCACAAGAGGTAGCGATCTTTCGAAACAGTAAAGCAATTTGTCGAGTTCTCCCAAGCGAAAAGCACTTGTTATAACAAACGATTTTTCATGTTTTCCCTGTTAAGATGATTGCGGCAAATACCTTGCAATTTGGCGTATCTGGGTTCTGAGTGCGTGAGTTCTGCACTCGAAATAGAGCTGAGTACATTAATTACCTCATTGTTGACTCAGCTTGAGAGCTGAGGCAAACAAGGCGAAGGCAGTGGCAAGTGGCTTCTAATTGTTAATTTTTAGCGATATTTACGAATTCTTCTACAGTCCGTGCTAATTATAAGGAACTCTCTTCGCCTCAAAATCAAAATCTTGAATCTTGAGAAAATAAAACCTACAAGTACTTTCACTTAAAAAGAATACAATTTGTATCTTCAGAGCAGTCGTTACGGGATTCTATGGGGGGACATTTCGGAGACGGGTCTCTTGAATAATTCATGCTACTATCCTAACAATTCTCTTGACGAACGGTTGTTTTCTTTAAAACATTTGTACAAAAGCAGCCCATTAATGTGCAAGCTATAGATTTGGAATGGTTCCCTTATACATTTTTATTTAATAATTTAAATTATGATTGTAAAATATAGAACGATAAAGGTAAGTTTAACATAGAAATAACTGACCAGCTAGCTCATTTGTAATTAATTTAAACAGCTTTTGCAGGCTATAGATTGATTGGAATGGTTCGCGTATACATTTTTATTTATATTTAAAAATAATACAACAGATTTGAAGTATGATTAAAAATATAGAAAGATATAAGTAAGTCTAAAATAGAAATAACTGACCAGCTAGCACATTTGTAAATAAAGTAAAATCTTATACCACACTCGTACCTACTAATTACTATAAGGCTTATACTTAAATAAAATAGTTAATATTGCGTTGCGAACATGTTAGAATTTATTGCCCTTTGTTTGCCCTTGCAGCCATAGTGCCAGTGTCCATTGAAATCGTTGTTGACCGAAGCTAATGAAGCTGAATAACTTCTTTATACATAGGAACCCACTTACAAACACACTCTCTGTAAACAGACAAGTATATTTACCTTTGCACTGACTAATATTTGCTTACTTGCTGGCCAAACGCTTAGTTCATTCGACCAAGTCACTCGACTTTATCATTTTGTGTTGTTGCTGTAGTTGTTGTATTTCTAGAGGCTTCCTTGGGGTCTGGCTGAGTCACTGGCTGCAGCTCAGATGACAAATTGGCCAAAATCATTAGTCATGCCTATGTAAGGGGCTTTATGCTATGATATGATATGCTAATGAAGTGCGCCCACACACCCGTAAGCCGTAGTCTGATCGACCCGTTGGCCCTCGTGCCCATTGATTACGATCTACGAGTATAGCCCTCGGAGCTCGTAATCTAAACAAAAGTTGTCTAGGTCATGTGCATCACGAAATGGCAGGCCAGTTTCAGCTGCAGCTGGGCGGATAGGAAACATTCATATCCCTGGTTCGAAGCCATGGCGTCGCCGTGTGCTCGGGAATTCGGCAAAAGAGCCAACAACTGCTCGCATTGGCATGGCAATGACGACGGCGAGGGGAGAGTCAGAGACACCAAGTCATATAACGAAGCTATAAAATTATGCGCAGTCATCGTGGCGCCGCTCGAAAGCCAAAAAAAGAATCATATTCCGGCGACTTATATGTTGCGGCAAATGCCAGACGTGGCAGTATCAGAAGGCAGAAACAGAAACAACCCCTTTGGGGCGCCTCTAGCTCTCTCACATTTGGTGGCAACAGTCGCGGCGCATTCAACTCGAGAATTGCGTCACTAAAGTAGTTGGAACTAAATCAATAGGACAACTCCCACAAGGCGACCCACAAAACCAACAAAAACAAGTGAATTTGGGGCAAGTGGGAAATGAAGTGAAAAATTTGCATTTTACGGCGCTATTTAGGTCGCGAAGTTCCATGTCCGAGTCCGGGTCTAACACTTTCGAAATTGCAAGGACATCTGAAAGGCGACGTCTGCGTTTGTTCTGAACATAAGTCAACAATTCTGAGCTTCCTCTTCATAATTTTTATTAATTAATTGGTTTTGTTTTTGCCTTTGCATTTTCATTGGCTTCGTTAAGTCGCCGCCGGCATTTCTGGGTCGCCACATAAATTATGAAGTTCCATTTTTCTATACTTTTTGTTCGGTTCGCTCTACACCTACAAAGTGGGTTTTGAGTGTTTGGTTGTTTGTGTTGGATTTGCAGTTATTGGGGTTCCAGCTCGAAATTTTGTAGTGACCAGGGCTCGGCGCAATTTCCGTCCAGTGGACTGGGTAGAGGGTTTTTGAGTATTATTAAGTTTTTGAGCGCCAATCGATATAGACGAATGGACATCCAATAAAATTTTGCCTAACTTGTAGTTCCTTAGATAGAACGACAACAAATATTACTCCAAGGGGTGGGAATTTCGATTTGTGTGACTGATCTAAATCCGGTATCAGATATGTTTATTTCAAACGCTGTCACACGTTAAAAATAATCCTTAAGGCATGCAAAAAAGGATATATTGAGTTTGGTTGTACTATACTATGCAACGTCACATTTTAATGATTCATAAAGGATAAGCAAGATCAGCTTATATTCAAACTGTTCTGTTGTTTAAAGTCTTGGCATAAATTTCCTTTTTGTTTTTCCGAGAAAGGAAATTCTTCTTTGGGTTCTTCATAAGATCAGGCCTACTGAATATTACATAAATACAGGTTGGAAAAATGAATGCCGGGGTAATATGAGATATCCTTATTCTTCCAAAGCGGAACAACAAAATTAATTTCAATAAAAGAAAAAAAAAGCTGAATTTATTTTTATTTTAGATTTAAATATTGAACGTCTAACAGTTTTAAATTACTTCTGAACCGACGCTATGATGATAATATTGTTCCTTTTAAAATTCTTTAGTAGTGGATTATGTCGGACGAAGATTTATAACCGAAACATTATAAATGATCTAAACTTCAAGTACAAACAAAGGAACTGAGATCATTCTTTCTGAACTTGCCAGGAAAAGATTTATATTCCAAAATAGTTTCATGGAATTAAATAAACTTTCTCGCAAGCTCTGCTGCGAGGATAACATCCTGGACGACTTGCCATATATCAGGAAGTTAAGAACGTGTCATTTGACATCAGTGCACTTGTATAATTTTTGCAATTGACGGAATGATTTACATATACTATATACATATAAGTACTATGTAAGAATATGGAAGGGCGTACGCAATCTAAATCTTAAAAAGGGAGCTGAAGTCGGATTCATTATTATGGTTGGTTTAATTGATTTTTTGAAAGTTTTCTGTTATATCAAGTGTCTAGAATAGGGATCCAGGAGGTGCACAAAACTTCACCCATACGCGCACATTATTTCAATAAAATTGTCATTTCATTCAAATGGTGATTCCGTCATTTGACGAGTCGATTTCTAATTTGTTTATGGCCGCTTCTCATTTGCAGTTTTATTTTCTGCAGTGACCACATTTAGGATTCATCGGTTGTGTCTTTTGAGTCACGCTTGGAAAGTCACCAAGCGCTGAATTTATCGTTTTGACAGCTGCTACGTGCAATAATAAAATTGTCTAAGCACAAAAATATTATATACAAATGTATGACTTATTTCTGAAGAAATTTCATTAACAAAATGACAATAAACAAAAAATCATACGAACGCGGGTGAGAGGCGGAACATGTCTGCCGGCAATGTTGCTCTCTCTTATCACAGCTGCAACATGTTCGATGTTCGGCCGAAACAGCTGGTTGGCAGGTCTGACCGTCATTTTGTTGTTGTATCTGCATCTTTTCAGTTCGACGAGTGTTGAGGTTCGTTGGTGCTGTTTGTCGCTGCCGGTGTGGTTCTTCCGCTCATTCAATATTGAAAAACAGTTCGCCAGCGAAATTGAAACGCGACGGTTGTCGAGCGGGTGTGCTTGGTGCTTGTCTCTCAAGAACGTCGACGTACTTGGCGTTCGAGACTTCTTTCTCATTGCGTGGCTGCAGAAAAGTAATTTTGGCCAAAAGCCGCAGTCGCTCGATAAGCTGCCACTGAGTAATATCAGTTACTCGCGCAACGTCTATTTAATTAAGCGTTTCGTAAACCAAAAAGTACAATAAAAAAACAACAAACTATTTTTTAAACTGTTTTCCACAGCAATTTGCTTGGCTATGTGTGTGTGCGCGGGTTTCTTGGTTCGTCGAGTGGGAAAAGTGTGGGCGGTTCGCGTTTTTGGCATGTGTTTTTTGCTTAGAATTTAATGGTATTTAATGGCGCTTCTAGTTGTTATTATTGTTGTTGTTGTTGTTACTGTTGTGGCCGATGTGGCTGTTTTGCTGCTGTAGGCCAAAACTAGTTAACAAGTAAGTCGCGCGTAACGTGAGTTAATTTTTGCAAATGTCTTCTATTCTAAATTCGATTTCTTTCATGCGCGAAGCAACAAAATGGGCAGCAAGCTAAAGAGCGACAAACATTTTAATGTTATAACCATAAATTGATAACAATGGCATTAACATAACTTGTCAAGTAAACTGAGACGAAACAGCAATACTCGTAGTAGGCATGTTTCAAATCTGGCATTGTTTCTTGGCTAGGGCGAGGGCGAGGGCAGGCAACAACAAAATAAAAAACAACAACTGCAGAGGCAACAATAACAACAAACGTTGCGCGGTGTTTTTTTTTTTTTTAATTTAAATCGATTCGCATGTTCGTGGGAAATAAAATGTTTGTTGTATTTTAATCAAACTTTGATCGCACACACATAAAGTTAAAATAAAAAATGCTGACCCCGAACTCTGAATGAGAAGTGTTTCTGAATTGTTTGTGTTGAAAATACAAATTGTAAAGTTGCGTAAACCCAACGTAGTACATGTGTATTAAAATTTCTTGTTTTGTTTCTTTCGGAAACAGCTTCTTAAAAATAAATAAAGCAAAGGCAAGCCACAACAAACACGAAATCCCATTAAAAAACAGATTTGTATCAAGTGGAAATTTGAAATTCAACCAAAAAGGTAAGTTTTGCAACCAATTATGAACAGCAGTCTCGCATTCGAAGTATATTTAAAGAAAATCAATCAAGTCAGCGTAGAACTGGGCATGGGGCTACGAAACATGTTGATGTTTTGAAAACACGGAGATTGGAAGAACTGTAATGAACAGCTGAAATGAATTTAATTAATTTGAACTTGAATACAATTATTTGTATATACTTGTATGTACATACATACAACTGAAAATCTATTGATATCAGAAATTGCACGTTTGATTTAATTTCCCGAACAAACCCGACATTGAAAAGGATGTCATAATTACAAGTATAATGGTAAACTTCATTTTTGTTACTGTATATATCCATCGAGTCGGACAAATTCAGAAGGAAAACTAACTTCAAGCGGCGCGAGATCACAAAAAACTTGGATCCTCTGAAATATTCTCAAATCCAAAGTTGTTTGTTTCAAATGCAATGTTATTTGTAAGGAATTGAATCCAAATTTAAAATTATTTAATTTATTTGTGGAACTGGTATAATTATTTTCTTATTTTCGATGATATGCATCAATCTGAATCAAACTGCAATATCTTCTTTATTTTGCATAAATATTTCAGGTTGTGAAAGCCAAACTCTTTTTTAAACATTTACCTGCTTTTTAGACCGTCTAATTGGTTGATAGTTACATTCACATTTATAGCACGTTCTATTTCTACCAGTTGAAAGCATGGGATCTAACCATATGTTATTTATATGTATGTACGTATATTCCAATACATACATACAAACATTCAGACACACATACACATTTGTTGATGTATATTCGTGCGTACTTATGCATACATAGTATATGTATGTACTATATAGCCACTTTTGTGTTGTATGATGCGCACCGCACTCCCAAAATTATTGATTTTCAAGCTAACGGCACCGGACAGCAAATGTCCTTCGCAAGCTGCACTTGTCGTTGACGCCCGCCGGGCTGCAGTGGTAGATACAGGAGAAGCAAGGACACGACGTGTGCAGTGCGCAGCTGTTGTTGCAGCATTTGAACTTTCAACCGACTAAGGCCGCCTAGAACCGAACAGCTGTGAAAAGTTTGCTCAAGTTTCGCGCGGCAACATTTAAGAGTGCGGCCTGCAACATCCGTTTGTTTCTGCAACATTTGTAACAAGGCAACTTTTGTTTTCAAGCGAAAGCAAGTGCCTACCGAACACGCACACACACACACACACAGAATCACGTTGCCGGCTTGCTGCCAGCACGTGTGGGTGTGGGCGGCGCTGCACGGCCGGTTCATGTTGCAGTGGGCGCAGAGCAACGAGTGCTATTTGTCTCGCACTCGTGGGACCACTTGTTAGTCTCACTCGTTGTGGGCGCTGGGTTATCGACTCTAGAGACACACATACACATACATGCACGCATACACACACACTTGCACGTAATTAGATACATACTCGTACAACAAAGGCATTCTGTGATTACCTCACCGCCTGGTGCTTGGCGGCTTCGGCGGCTTTCTGTCTGTCTAAGTGGGTCGCCGTTCAACTTATTTTTAGCGCCTGCCGCGTCCGCTTCGTGATTGGCAAGCACTTAGCATTAATGCGCGCCTAAGTGCCGGCAAGTATGCTACGATTTGCGCTTTTACACACGGACATGGCTCTCAGCCTAACGCCTTCAACTTTGCGAATTAGTTGTCCTAACGGCATTTTTTTCGCATTATGCATTTCATTAATTAAACTGCCGTGCTGCCCATTCATGCGACGGATCTGCAGCATGTTGGGGTAATTGCTTCAATCAACTCGGCACTGCTGCACACATATCTACAGTACCAACTTTTTAAGGGAAATTCGTTCAAGACCGAATTCTGCATTATTCCATGACTAATTATTACATTATTCATTTACTTTTGTCTATTTATCTACCACTTTTTTGCATTTTATTCGGGACTTTTTGTACTTAAGACAACTATGTAATTATTTATCTAAGTAATGTTAGGCAAAGGATTTCTTATCTCGGACCAGAATCTCTGTTTAAGTAGAGTCAGTGATGCCCGAAAGTTTGCCCAGCATTCTATTATTATCTCTCTATCATTATTATTAATGCCCAGACAAGTTTCTAATATAAATGATTTTGTTCTGCTCAACGAATTAATGTAGTTCTCTATTTCCCTAGTAGTGATTTTTTCATTTTCGCGCCTTCTATTGATTGCACAGCATACATAAGTACAACGGAATACTCCATTGAGTTTTCACTGTATTTACTAGTCTCGTTTCTCGTACATAATTTAACACTAGAGCGATTTTGTCGGGACGTCTTATCAGATATTTGCAAACAAGCAGAGCAGGCCAGACCCCATGAAAGTATCATAAAACATACGCACATAACTGTTGTAATTTGATAAACGAATGTAGATAAGAGCCCGCGGCATATGCCAAAAAAATCAAGTCTACGTCAGCATAGAGTCGATTCTAAGCCCCATACACTGATGTAGGCGCAATGCTCGTATATCCGGCACATTGTAATTTGCTCGATCTTATCTGACAATGTGATTTGCGCTCATGACCTCATCAGCTACAGCAATTCGCAACATAAAGGTGAAGCAAATGCACACATATGTATGTATTTGATATTTATTTTAGGTAGACATATCGAACTGACACCCTTAACAAAGTACAGCCAGCCCATACTTTCACAATCATTTCTTTCTTTTTGTTTGGTCATCCGGCCAAAAACAGCCAAAACCAGCAGCACATCATAGTTAATAAGTAACGTAAATAACTCAATGCAAAGTGCTCGTTTTCTTGTCGCTTGCTTTGCATAGCAAGCCGAGCACTTAACGTTTCCTTTTGTTGCCATAAATTTGCATAGGCTGCTGCGCAGCCGCCACATATGTACTAGTTATTGTCGCTAACTCTGCAAGTCAAGTTCGTTTTTCGTTATCGCATCTGGTACGGAGAAGCTTAGCTTTCCGTCTACCAGCATAAACTTTGTAAATCTCGGCGATCGCTACCTATGCAAAATAAACATTTGTGCACATCTTTTAAATTGAACAATTTCGTTTCGCTTATTTTGCAATTATTTCGCCAACATAATTTCGCATATTTGGAATCATAAAAAAGCTTATGATTATACATTTTGGTGACCCCGACGTGATTAATAATTCCACAAAACCTTGCTTAATCGCGTTAAAAAACAAAAGCGTACATAATTGAGCTCATTGTACACAAAAAATATTCAAGTACATAAGTGCAAAAATATAAGTTCATAGTGCCTACTGTACCGCCAATAAGCAGCCGTGTGAAGCGACGTTTTTGAGGGCAACGAACATCAGCAGATAAAACAGTTATTCGCGCGCGTCATTTATCTCTGCTATTTTCGGTTTTCGGTTCTCTCTCGCGTTCACAATGTCTGAGAGCGACGGTCAAATGCGCGCCTTCCAAGCTGTCGCATCAGCTGCTGCTGACGTAGCTGATGCAGCGACGCTTGCGCCAACAGCTTCGACGTCAACAGCTGTGGGCAATGCAGTGCAAGCTACGAGCAATAGTGTTGAGTTTTATAAGCGCAAGGCGCAATCATTATATGCGTGGGCGCTTTCTATTCAAAATAAAATAAATGATTGTGAAATTGACAATATTTCAGAAAGTGAGCTGCGAAAACGTGTGGAAATGCTGCAAAGTATTCAGGCCTCTTTTAATTTGGTGCATGACAAATTAGAGGAGCTGGACTTTGACGAGATTGGCAGCAGTTTGCGCTGCAACTTTGCTGAGCTGGTGGTCTGCTTGGAGGGCCGCCTGCTAAATGCAATACAAAGGATGCAATCTGGCGCGCCGCCGTGTTCGACGCTTCGGCAAGATGATCAGTCTACCATTGTGATAACTCGGTCTCGTTTGCCTGAGCTTAAGTTGCCTACATTCAGTGGTGGATATACTGAATATGCAGATTTCGCTTCGATGTTCACATCAGTGATCGCCAAGGATCCAGATCTCTCCGATGTGGAAAAGTTGCAGCATTTGAGGTCAAGCTTAAGAGGATCTGCGTTGGGCACGATTCGTGCGCTTGAGATAAGTGGTGCAAATTATTCAGTGGCGTTAGACCTACTCGACAAGCGGTTTAACAATAAGCGTCTTATTTTCCAGGCACACATCTCCGAGATTTTGGGCATTAAAAAGGCTGAAACTACAAGCAAGCTGCGAGAGTTGTCCGACAAAGTCAACGCAAATATGCGTGCACTGTTGAGTTTGGGCAATATGCAAGATGTAGCTGGCAGCATCGTCGTTCAGACAATTTTGGGCAAGGTGGATGCTGCGACGCAGGCAAAGTGGGAGGAAGCCGCCCCATTAAACGTTATACCGTCGTGGGAGCAATTTGCGACGTTCTTGGATAGCAGGTGCCAAAAATTGGAAAACATCGAGCATGCAATGGCATCATATTCGTCGAATTATCAGGTGGGAAAGAACAAAAACACTAACACCAAACGCTCGTTTGTCGCCACTAACCCATCCGCAAATGGTTGTCTGTTTTGTGACATAAATGCACACGAAATATACAGTTGCCCACTTTTTGGTAATTTGTCGCCTGTACTTCGTTTAAAGGAAGCGAAACGCCTCTCTCTGTGTATAAATTGTCTTAGAAAGGGACACAGAATGAGAACTTGCAATTCTGGATCGTGCAGAACCTGTGGTGCCAAACATCACAGTTTATTGCATTTTAATAATTCAGCTGCCGTAAATTTGATGCCTGAGCAATCGTCCGCTTCTGACTTACACTCGCGGCCGTCTTCATTGTTACTGCCACGTAGCGCTCTCGCAGCTGTTTCGCCATCATCGCTTGCTTCATTGCCTGCCCAAAATCTCGGCTCAGATGTTGTGCTCTTGGCCACCGCTGTCATCAGCATTCAAAATCGCGCCGGGACTTGGGTACCCTGCCGTGCACTGCTCGATTCCGGATCACAGTTGCACATAATAACTTCGCGATTCGCTCACCGGCTCCAACTTCGAAAGACCAAGTCGTCGGCCTCTGT